CTCTGGTTCAGGTTTTGATATCAGAATGATCCAGGTATAAAAATGTAGCTTTTAAAGCCAGGAACATGAAAATGTAATTAGGTCATTTTGACCAAATTTGACTTAATCCTCATTTCGATATGATGGGTCACATTTAATTAATATGTGTACTATTGGTTTTAATAAYATATGTTAAAGCTCCAACAAAAATCTTATCCTAAAGGAGGATCCTACCCCCACCTCTCCCCCCTCTCACACCATCTAATCTGATCCCCTTAAGGTCCATGTGGAGCTGCACAGAATGAACAATTCAACACCAATATTACMCCTCTGGCTAATAAATGTGTTCTTGCTTGTTGAAGATTTTTRATAAACACCATAGTGTATCATATTTTGTTGATATAATATGATGTTTTGTTTTGTTTTTTCCTCATCTAACCGTCTGTGGGTTTTTCGTTTTTCTTTATAAAGGTAGCGCGACCCCTGCTGGTTGCCACATTACCTGATCACGTGTTTCCCCATGTTTTTGCCATGTGTGTCTTCTTGAATGGATGTTCTTAAATGTAATTTCATTGTTCTCCGTACAATGACAATAAAGGCATTATCAATCAATCAATCAATATGAGAATGTTTCTCATTTGAATATGTTCTTTGATGAAACATGAGAACAGCTAGGAAACATAGTAAGAAAGCCCCTCGTTTTACCTGATAGAACAACGCGGAGTTCAATCCTTCCAACTTGGCCATGGACGTCTGGGGGGTTCTTCACTTGACAGATGTAGGTGCCGTTGTAGGCGAACTTGACCTCTTGAATTATAATGGAGGCATCACCACCCATGACATCCCCGGCCCAATGGACTCTCTTCCTAAAAATGCCCTCCGTGGGTGGATATGGTTTCTGCTGGTAGTGGAACAGCTGCAAGGAGAGTTGGGCATTTGGTTGAKGCAATCGCAAAGTTTTGTTAGATTACAACATTTTTTTTAAGTTATCAAACTAAGGCTCCTGCTGCAAAGGAGGAAATGATTATTTGAATATATTGTGGAGCTAGAAGCTACCAAACCTGACTTACTGCATCTGCTTCATTTTAATTCTGTCTCCTCTCAATATGCACACAGAACAGTAAGAAAAAAAAACACAAGCTGTCTTGGATGCTCCACTGGGAGCCTCATGACTCACCAGCATCTCTCTCAGCTGGCTGAGGGGGTGGATGCTCCCTGACAGCCAGCAGGATTTGAGGTTTGATTTAACTACTCTCTCACACACACACACACACACACGCACAGAGACACACAGAAACGTACTGAGTCCTCTCTGTCTCCTTTAAGAGGTCTGAAGGTCCAGGAGATGATGACGACGTTGGGGTTGATCGTTGCCGAGCTCTGAAATGTGCACTTCAGGCGGACATCGGTTCCGTTGACCGCCTCGATGTTCCCAGATGTGTAAACACGCATCCCGCTGACCTGCAGCACACCTGGAATGAGAAAGGTTTATCTTCATCTGATAAACAGCTCCCTGAGTGTCTGCAGTGCACTCTGTGACCCTAACTACCAGGTGCTGCTGCAAGAAAATCACCAACTGTAAATGAGCGCGCAGAGGGAGACTGGTGACAACTTTACCCGTTCGTATAGAGATGGATGACGCTTCCTAAGATTGAGTTAGCACCCGCACACACGTGTTTTACTGCAGCACATACACACCGTGCACGAATCCCAGAAACACATCATTTCACCCCTGTCGGCCAGTCAGGAAGATATAGTGAGCTTTACCATCACACCTCCCCCCTTCCAGATTACAGTTTTATTTATGAAGGGAGATCCGACAGCTTTCTATAGCAGCCCGCTGAGAGTGTGTGTATGTGAGGCTCAGAAGGGGTTTATGTGAGCCGTGTCTGGTTAAAATCATCGGGGCTATTTATAGACAGAGCAGTATATGCTCCAAGAATAGTGAAAGCCATGTCTAGCCTTATTAAAGTCAATGCCCAGGAGCAGAGAATAGGCCCAACAATCTGCAAAGCTATGGCACAAACACAAGGCAAGTCTTTCCACGTGTAGAGAGCTCTGTCAAACAATAAAAAACCTGATTGTATTTCTGAATGTCACAGACACAGCAGATTGAAAGGAGAAATCACTTGTGGCTTTTTAAAATCTTCTGAGCGAGCATGTCGAAACCGATTAGATGCGAATGAGARGCAGTTCCTTCACAGATTTTTGTCTCATCATTCAAAGCTATCTCAGTTCATAATCTGCTCATTATGGGACTAATGTATAAACACTGAACCAGCCTGACTGCCATTTCAGTTTTATTCTTCAAACTCTGTCACAATGTCTGATTCATTGTGGCTCCCTATACACCATTATTTATGCCATTAAAAATCTATACAAAAAGTCCATCTTGCAGTTTGATCAGGGACAGCCTGATGGGACTTTTACTAGCAGTATTATTGTACAGTGTCAAGAGAGTTTGCAAATAACTGCAAAAAGTTTTCACATTAACATTACAAGTTTAGCATAGGCAGTGTAGGCAAATGCTGGGAGTACTGTCCATCTGGGGGGGCGCCACCAATGGGAGATCAAAAAATATATTTAAGAATTTTGTATCAGAGTTTAGTTGATTTAATCTGCAGAATAATCCCTCATTACTCAGGTTGATGAAGTTAACTTGTTCTGTGGGTTTCTCAGTCTGCTTTGCTACTACATCAGTTGTTATATGGTGCAGAAGATGTTTTCTGATAAAAGTATCATATGATGCAGTGAAGACTAACTACTGGTGTTTATTTAAATAGAAAACAAAACAAAGATAAGTTTCAGTTATGATCTCAGATCAAGTTTAAGTTAAAGTCTGGTTTTCAGTAAACTGCCTTCATAAAATATGGTTTTATGTTGTTTTATTAATCCTAATAATTTCATAAAATGCTTTTCAAATGACTGAAAAAGCATAGCTTTGAGAAAATATTTTTACAAAATTCTCCTGAGGAGTAGTACCCTGGAACCTCCTAGAACTGCTTCACTCCACAACTACACGTCAACATGACATATTAAAGAGRAACTTACCCCAAAATTAACTTTTTTAGTTCTAGACTGACAGTCTAGAATGTGTCTAAAATATTATATAGTACTGTTTCTGTGCTAATTTTGATGTTTTTGTGCGTATTTGATCAAATCTGTAATATTTGGTCTAAAAACGTSTTTTTGCTGCTCATATGGGTAGAGCAGTGGTACTGCAGGCTAATTTGCATATTGGTTAACAGCTCTCCACGGTGACGTGTCTTCTCCACGGTTTCGTTACAGTGGCTGTGTTCTGGTATAAAAGCCTCTCTCTAAGACACGCCCCTGCAGCAGTCAGAGGGTGGAACAGTTAGCAAGCTTAGCATGATCGTCTGTTGACCTTCAGCCTCGGGTGGGGAGAGCTGACTGCTGTGCTGCTCTCTCRCTCTCTCTTTCTGTCTCTCTCTCTCTCCCTCTGTCTCTGTTTCTCTCTACCCCCACACACACACACACGTGCGCGCACACACGCACGCACACACACACACACACCAGCAGTACGTCTTGCACAGCAGGAGGGGAGGAGGGGAAAAAAAGGCAGAAACACAGKGGCGCAGCTGCAGCCCTAACGGACCGAACTTCAGTCAAACAAGACCCAACACTTTTAMTCKTGATTTAAACTAGCGATCTTGTGAGCAGCTGCAGCTGTATGCTTTTATTTTTTTTTATGTCAGGCTGTCGTGGAGCGCTCCACCTCCTCTGTCCGGTGCTGGTGTMGTGTGAGGCGGACAGCTCAGCCGAGGCTGCTGGAGCTTCATGTCCTGATTGAGGGAGCCAACATGAGTCAGTCTCAGACTGAGCTGACTTGACCAAGTCTCTCTCTGCCTCTGGTGAGGAGGGGYTGAAAAATCCTCCACCTCAGACCGTTCAGAGATGTAACTATCTGCGATACTGTGGTCACTCTCCATGTAGCATCAATTATGTTAATGCTAGCTGTCACGTTCTCTCGTCCTGGCCACACCTCCGCTCCCTAACCCCCTCTCCCCTACCAACACCCCCTCCCCTACCCACTTTGATGCATTTTTCAAAMTTCACCTTGGGGCGAGTTATCTTTTCACAGGGGGTTAAGATACACTTTAACAACATATGGTGTAGCTATTTTAAAAGAACAACCTGGTTTCTAAAGATTTAAAAAATTAAAGACAAAACTATTCATTTGTGTATGTGAATGTGTGTAAATTTTTAGTGACATTTAGAAAGATGCACAACAGGGGGCACCTGAAATCTTACCTAGGACATCAAATTTGCTAGGGCCGGCCCTGAACATAACCCAGCAGTTTGACAAATATACACTGACTTCTGAGCTGTCTGAACTTCCTAAAATTGATACAACTCTTCTTACTTCCACCAATTTTAAAACTTCCCATACAGTTCATAAATCAAGAATATAGGCCTTTTTGTCTTCTTTCACCCTGTATCTCAAATCCCCTCTGAGTGCAGCGTGAGCACATTCAAACACTCCCTTTGTGTCTGAGCTCAGTATTTTCTCCTCATAGCTGGATGTGAAAGGTCTTTTTAACCTGACTTATCGCCTACATGAAATATTGTAGACACATAAACGTGTACGTGGGACAACCAGAGGCTTCTGCCATTCACAGTTAAGGATTTTAATTTCAGTGTGAAATACAGGTTTTTCACGGTGACGTTTTTGTTTGAGGCTTACATCCTGCTCTGAATCTTAATATTCCTGTCTTGATAAGGGTATTGGCAGCTTAGATTATCACAAAGTATTCGTAAATTAATAATGGATTTTATAGAAGAAAGTTGATATTAGTATTTTAGTGACTGTCTTATTTCATTGGTTTTGTTTCTTCTGTTTTATGCTGTAAAATGAGTGACAAAACTCCAGTCAGAGCCGGTTGGTTCCACTTTACCTTAGGTACCTCTTGAAGAACTATTATTTGAAGAGAACCCCTCTGTTGACATCTCTAACACTTCATCATGGCCAAGCCTCATTTGCTTTGCACTTGTGCACCTGTTCTTTTCATTTAAATTCACTACTGAACACTTAAAAACAGCATTGTGTTTTGTACTGAATTTTTATTTTTATTTTTTCACTCGAAAGGATTTGGATAAAACTGTCTAAAATCATCTCAGTTGTTGTGTCCTTGGGCAAGACACTTCACCCACCTTGCCTACTGATGGTGGTCAGAGGGTATGGTGGCGCCGATGCATGACAGCCCCACCTCTGTRAGTGTGCCCCAGGGCAGCTGTGGCTACAGTGTAGTTTGCCATCCTCAGTGTGTGAATGTGAGTGTGAATGGGTGAATGTCTGTTAGATTAAAGCGCTTTGGGGTCCGGAGTGACTTGAAAAGCGCTCAATAAGTTCAGTACCATTTACCATTTACCAGTCTGCTGAAGGAATTAAAGAGCTAACATTTCTTGAAGGAATGCTTGTTGCCCGCTGCCTTTCATGACAGGGTTTTAAACTAAAATCTATTTATAATCAAAATGAATGAAGATATAGCCGAAATGATCAAAGCTTGTAAATGATATTATGCACAGTTTGATGCAATATTGTTTGATTTTGTCAAGTAGGGTCTCTGCAGTGCATAAGGTGAGTTTCTTGTGGGCGGAGTTTGTCCTAAACGTGATTGGTGGAGTTTGGATAATAGATAGAGGTTTTATTGATTGATTGATTGATTGATTGATTGATTGATTGATTGATTGATTGATTGATTGATTGATTGATTGATTGATTGATTGATTGATTGACTGATTATTTATTTCAAGTCAGTCAGAACAAAAATTATATTCATTGATCCCATTAGATTCGATTCAAATAGAAAAAAAAGAGTAAAAATCTATTTATAATAACTAATACACTTAATCTAATAAAGAATACAAAAGGTTGGGTGTGGGCGGAGCTTGGCAAAACCGTGATTGGTCAGATTGACTTGTCTTGTGGGGCAACATGAATTGTGAACAAGCAAAGATAAAAATTGACTTCATATTTCATGTGGCAAACACCTTCCTTTCTCAAGTCTTGACTAATATTAATTCAAATTCATACATAACAGTCTTTTTACATGTTGGTTAGGGCTGTTTTTGACCAAGCCAAATTATTACGCGTCTCACCACATGTACTGCGTTCAAATTTCGTGCAGGTAGGACCTTCCTGTTTCAAGTTATGATTAAAATTATTATTTAAATACAAATAATATAGGTATTTCCTAGCCATTTCAACCAAGACACTCACAGCTGTGCCAAGCTTCTTCAAACCCAATCCAACCAATCACCAAACCAGGTCCACAAAAGTCAAACAGATCAATCATGTCTTGGACAAACTCCTCCAACAAAACAATAAACTCCTACCTTGTGAATACAGAGACCCCCTTCTTGATTTTACCAGATATGATTGTGCTCAGAGAATCTGTTGAGGATGACTCTCACATAAAAGTGCCCTTTATGTTGGTTAATATAGACAGCT